TTTTTTTCACACAATAACCGAATCAAACACCTGCCGAATAAGAAAGTAAAAAAAGCAGTTATGATGAAAAGTAACAACAGATATGTATCATTTGGTAATACTTGTTTGTAGAAAATGCAATCAGTGTTCATTTCTGTTCTTCCAAAGCGATTTGGTTTCTCATTTTGTTAACAATGTCAATATTTGTTCTTTCCCATTTTTGTGTTGCCATAATTCTTTCTTTCCATTGTCTCTGTTTCTTACAGATTTTTCATTTAAAATTTATTATCATTTCAATCGTTTGAATAAAGAACAAAAAAATGTTTTTTTTTTTTTAATATATATTTCTTGAGTTGTTTGTTTCCTTCAAGCGACTTTTCTTCTTTTTTCCACAAGAAAACGAACACCGAAAATCTGGCTTTCTTCAATGAATATTTTGTGCGTGCGTATGCCTCGCAGAATTAACGCTATACATTGTAATTTATTAGGCAAATGACAGAAAAACATATGATTAAAAAAAAAACAATTTTCACTAAATAAATAACATTTTCTTTTTCATGCATAATTCATGCAAACGAATGAATTACGCAGAAGTGAAAGTATATGTTGTCATAGCGTCGAAAATGCTAAATATTTGTTCAAGAAAGCAATTGATACGGTATGTTCGATTCGATATTTTTATTCATTGAAATTTTTCCAATTTTCTTTGCGTACGTTCTTTTTTTATTTATGCCAAAGAAAAATATATTTCCGTTTTTTTTTTATTCAAATTACTCAAGGGAAATCTCATCATTTATTCATTTTGTGTTACGTTGTGTTCTCTCTTCTTTTTTTGTTTTGTTTATTCTCAATGTGATTTTTGCGTTCGGTTTCTTTTTAAATATTCTTAATTTTATTTTCTGTTTTTATTAAACACAATAAAAACCAGAACAAACGCAAAAAAAACTAATCTAAATTTACAAACAAAAAAAAACACCCTGAATGAAAAATGAAGAAAAAATCGATATTGTATCGTTCGTTTTCAGATTTCCGGAATCTGACTTACAAATTATTAAAATGTGGTCCACAATATATGTAAATTAATGCGAAAATCACGAACACACACACAAATACACCCATACGACTTTTGTACGGATGAGAGCGAAAGGAAGAAAGAGAGTGAAAGAGAATGACAGAGATGAATCAACTGAAATATTCGGTCAAATAATGGTCACGTACAATGTTTCAAAATAAGTGCATCTCTTCTCTGCTGTCGAAAACCGATTTCGTCTATGCAATTCTGGTCATGGGATAAATCACAAACACGTACCCACACACACACACATACACACAAAAACCTTAAGTGTCGCAATTATGAATGTACACACTGAAATACTCAAAATGTAAATAATGAAAGAAAAACAAAATATTAAAAAAAAACTCAATTCGAATAGGAATCGTATGTGTGTGTGTTGATGTATGCAACCCCTTCGATTTAGTTGTTAGTGTCACGCACATTTCTCTTGATGTCAGAACCAAACAGTGCACTCTGTTTTTTTATATGTGTGATGATATTTCAAAACATGTTATTTCCTACACACTCAACTGCGACCAATTTGACCGGACATTAAAGCAAATACTGATACATACAACGTATATGCAAATGTTTGTTCCATTTTACAATTGTGTTTAGATTTATAAGATGCATCAATCAAAATGTGAAAGAGTATGGCAAATAAATAATAGTATTTTATTGTAATTAATCACTATTGTATGTACTGACTCCGGAGAGTAACATAGAATCGTACGCAAAGATTTTTTATAATTTTGTTTTTTATTATTTTCTGCACAAACAATATTTTACCAGAACAATTCTAGAATGAGAAGATTGGTCCTGAAGAAAATTTATAGAAAATAAAATCTCCGCAAAAAGTGCATATGCTATGCAAAATTAAATTTCTTTATTTGAATTCCAAGAAATCTATTTCAAGAGCCATCGATTGCAATTTTATTTGCTTAAGTTGATGAAAATACGATAATCAAATTATACTCATTGCAAATTATGATAAAATATGAACAAGACTTTGATCCATTTTATGGATTTTGAGCACATTTAAAAAAAAGGTCAATTTCATGAATAGCCCTTAATTGGAATGACTTTTGTTTTCCAGTTGAGTTTGAAACTTATCAAATAATGAACATTTAAAGCTGTTTTTTTCATAAACACGTTACTCAAACTAGAGTAATAAATTCAAGAAAATGATCTCAAGCAATGTATTTAAGAAGAAAACGGGTTCGTAATATATTTCATTTTCAAAACCAAAATAAATATATAGATCACCCAAGCGCCAATAATAACGTAACCAACACGAGTTTTAAACAAATGTTGAATGATGCCTTTCAAGACATTTTCAAAATTTGGAAATACACAAAAGATGGCACACACACACACACACACCGTCACCGGTGCAATTTTTAGTTTAGTCAATAAACGTATTATTTGTTAAGTAATTGTAAAACGCAATATTGCAGGGGAACAACTCCCAATATAAAAAATATACCGATTTTTACATCACATAGAAAAATTATATCACACTTACACAAATGCACAAATATATTCCTGATACGATATGCCGATATTTTAAAATTCATGTGACTACTGTTTTTAACCAATCACAAAAGAGAGAATTGGTCATTGAAGACAAACAAAGGTATTAGAGAATCGAATCGATGCATTTTTAATGTTTGGCCAACAAATTTAGTGTAGTTTATTCTTATGGAAAATGCACAATTTTCACCAAAATATACTCTTAAGCCAATTCAAAATATGAGATTGACATGTAATTTTCTGGCTCGGTGCTATTGTTTTCGTCGTTAAATGTCGACCAAATTTTTACAAGATCAGAAAAACAATTACTCAACCAGCAGCCCAATTTACATATTGATTTTTCTTTTACGTGTTTATCACTCAAAAAGTCCGAAAAAACAACAACACCTGCACCGAAAATCCACACCTTTTCAGCACAAATTTTCCGAATTGCAGGCAAAACATCATTTTTTACAACCGTGCGTTAGTTGACACGATTACGGTTAAACGAATGTTAATGAAATTTTTAAATACGACATAACGTAATAATAATTCCTTCTTTTAACTGACATGAACCATGTGAAACCCTTTTTTATATATTAATTATTAGCCAAATACAATATTGACCAAGCAATCATTGTGCATGAATTATTTTGATGGCATGTAAATTAACCAAATGCATATAAAATACGAATCGTTTATTTTTCTAGTTTTATCCTAGAAGCAAATAAATCGCTAAGATCAATCCAATTATGGTGAGAAATAAATGAAGAGTGTCAAGAATACGAAAGTGATAAAATCATTATTTTTTAGATGAACAAAAACTTGTAGATTTTTGAATGTTAGACCAAAACGAACATCAAATTTTAACACATATTTAAAAATTGGCTCAAATTTTAAACGATTGACAAATAAAATTGACAATTATACACTAACGAAATTCAAACAAAGAAATTCCATTGATAAAATGTGCAAAAAGAAACATTTGTTTTCATTAATTTTCATTGAACAAAAAATAAATAAATACGAACACAATTTTTGTGAAATCGGTGCATAATAAAAAAAAGACAGAAAACAATATCCACTGGAACACACACCGTGTTACAGTTTTCAATGTGAGGCTTTTTTGCTACCCGAATTGCGTATTAGTTCGACTCATGCGCATCGGTCGCTTCTCTTCCTTTTTATCGAATGAATTTTTTTTCTGTTCTAGATAAAATTTGTTATACAATGCACGCAATTTGAACAACAACAACAGCAATTCAAAAAAAAACCAACAAACATATAAATCACATTTTAGCAATTGTTAAATGGAAACCATAATTTGTTGTTTTATTTTTACAATAGCACAGACATTGCGATTGAGATTTTCATGTGAAATGCTCGAAATACCGAAAAAATCCTCAATTTTTTTGCTTTTATATAGAATATTTTATTTATTAGAAGAAGAAGAAGAAGAAATAAGAATTATGTCAAGCCATATTCTATATTTTATGAATTTTGTTTTGTTTTTGTTTTCCATTGAATTAATTTAAGCAGGAAGATGACTAAGTAAATAAAAAAACCAAAAATAATTTACTGATTGCAGACATTTTACCAACAAAAAAATAAATGGACAAATCAAAACAGAATAGTAGTGTGGTTTATTCAGCAACAGAAAATTGAATTTCAATAAATTTTACCTATTAGATTTTAATTGTTGCAATTTGTTTTATTTACTGGTCGCAATTTGTTTTTGGACTTGCAGCAATATGTCTTCCAGTAGATAGAGAAACTATAGCTGTTTAAATGTTATTTTGCACATACACACACAAATAGTCATACCTCCACCCACAAATGACACATCCTAGTGTATCTCTCAATTGTATTATTCATTTTCTCTTACCACTCAACCCTGTGTTCCATTACGCATTACATTTCTGTGACCGTCCAATTGTCAATAGTTGTATCCCAAATCGTGTCGAAGCCTTTTATATGTTCCGTTCCCGATTTTGTATTTGAATGTTCATTTTGTATCGTTGGCATTATATCAATTTTGCATAAAAGATTTATTCGCAATTATTTGGTAAGTAACGATATGATCGAGTTTGGGGCCATTTTCCGATCATTTATTTTTATCAGTGCATTTTCGGGTATATAGCTCCTCCGTCTATCCTCTACTGTCGTTTATGGTTCGATGATGTGTATGTTTCACCCCATGTATGATTTGACATTGTTTTTTTTTTGTTTGTTTTGTATTTCGCACCAATCAATTTTTATTATTCGTTTTTGAATTTGAAATTAATTTACATTCAAAATCTAGTTTCAGTTTGTCCAAGATCCGTCCCAAGATTAAAATTTAGTTTTAAATATTTAATAACCGAAGAAATATCGTGAATTATTATAAACAATTATTCTAATCAAATGTATTTCTTTTTTTCTTATTTTCTCTTTCAATTTCATGTGATCCGTACAGAGTTCGTGACCATGATGACATCGAAGTGAGCTGCTTATTTATACTACCGCATCATCATTGTCATATTTAAAGCCTTTGTATTTGTTTAAGATGTTTATTAAGAATGTGTAATGGAAGAAGAGAGACTGTAGCTATGCGTTCGCCTCCTCTAACAAAATAAACAAAAAAGAGAAAAAAAAAATGCAACAACAACAGAACAAACTAAAATATCCCAAGAAACAACAGAAAGCAAATAAATAAATAAAAAAAATTAATTAGAAGCAAAAAACCAACCAAACTAAATAACACTTACACTCATTAACAGCAAATTTAAATAAAATTAAAATTAAAAGAGTTCAAATAAATACAAAGAAGAAAAAAAAATCAAGCGATTGAGAAAAGATTATTCTATATGATTAATTGAGAGAAGAAAAAAAATGAAGAAAAAAACCAAGCAGCAGCAACAAGTAAACAAAGTAATTGCAGCCTCCCCCTTCACATACACAACAACATAGACACATACATACCGAACAACAACAACAAAAAACAACTTTTTAATTAAGATTTATAAGAGAGAAATATGAGAACATTACTATATATTCATAAATGAATTAACCCATTAACGATCGCGTCATGATCAATAACAGCAGCCGCAGCAGCAGCAGCAATACCATTCTGCCCAACAATTTTGAATTTTTTTTATCTAATTTCCAAACTGTTTTAAATTTGCGTTAAAAAGCTTTCTTCTGAAAGACATAGAACTAAACCATGAAACGTTGATTTTTTTGGGGAAAATAAAATGATAACGTGTGGAATATTTTGCTCGGATCGTTAATGGGTTTAATTAATTAAAATTACTTACTTTTCTTTATTCTCCCTCTTTTACTCTATACTCTCCCCCCAAAGAAAAAAAACTACACACGCAATGATAAAAATGAAAATGTTGAAAAAAAAAAATTAAATAAATAATAAATAAATTAATTAATTAAAACAACAAAAAAAAAACCAACAGGAGTTAGATAAACAAGAAAAACACACATTTAAATTAAAAAAAAAACAACTACTAAATATAGTCCGAAAGCATTTCGAAACCAAACTAAAAAAAATGAGGAAACGATGACAAATGAGTTCATTTTTATTGTTATTATTACTTTTATGATTTTTTTCTTCTTCTTGATTTGTGAAACATTATGTAATTTTGAGTAACGAAAAGAGAAAAAGAAAAAAAAATCCACATACAAGAACGACGGCGACTTGACTTAATACAGACAGATACACACATAGTCTACAGACCGTGGCGACAGAAAAAAAAACACAGTCGAGATGCTTAAATAGCGCAGACATAGAAAAAGACATGAATTCCAATATTGTGCTGCGACATTTAAAGCTAAACTCTGTTTTCTTTTGTGCGGCGTGAAATTGTCCAGCAAAATAAACAAAATGAAAAATAATTTTCCTGGAAAGAGTATTTCATATAAGTTATGTAAATGTGTGTTCTGTTCAGCAGAAAAGTGAAAAATAGGGAAAAGAAACTTAATGTCCATCTCGAGCGACATTCACAAGTTGGTTTTTACATGGTTTTCATTTTCTGGAATTTCGAATTTTCGTTTGTTGATAAGCCGTGACGCTCTGTTGATGATCACGTTGGCGGTTTTCCGGCGGTCAAATCGAAATTGCGAAATGCCATCTTGTGAATATTGTCGCCGATAAGTTTTCGCCCAATTTTTTTTAAATCGTTTTTATTTTTCTTATGAAAATGAAACGCATACTTTTCTGTTTACGTGTATACTAAATTGGATTTCCTGATTCTTATACCATTTTTTTCTCTTTCGTTTCTCTTTTTTGGTCTTTTTGTTTTGTCACATTTTTTTCTACACACAAACATCAAATAAATATTTGAATTTCGTAATAATTGTTTTGCATTTTGTTTTATTTATTTATTTTTTATTGAACGAAAATTATCAATTATACGTTTAAATTTAGTTTTGATTTTAATTTTAGTTCTCAGCTGAATCATTCGTACCCTCTGTGTGTTATATTTGGTTTTAGCGACCGAATTTGAACAATGTAGTATGTAAATCGCGGTTTTTTTTAATGCGTGGATACAACAAGCAAATGGAAACATTAAGAGAAGATGAATAAAAAAAATTTGAGTAACATGTTGTACACAAAACTAATGCCGATCCATCTACACAAACACATACACACGATCCTCCGCAATTTAAAACAAATAATCGATTAAATATGAATTATTTAGGTGAAAAATAAGCGACACACTCAATTCAGTTGTCCAAATACCAACCACAACAACAACAACAAAAACTTAAAAAATAAATTATGAATTATAAAATGAACATAATACACTTAAAACTACAGTGAAACGAACGGCATTTTTTTTAGAGAACCAAAGAAATGAAATAGCTACGGAAGTTAATGAGAGTTAAAATGAGGTAGAGAGAATGGGGAACAATTGCAAAGCATCAATGATTATTAATGAAAACAAAAATTAACATCATTCCTTCCGTGTCATAGAAGCAACTAGAATTGTGTATAACAAACAGAAATGAAAATATAAGCCCTCGCCGCCACACACACACACGCAAAACACCGTCAAGCAAATTATTAAAAGAACAATTGAGAATAAATTAAAAACATACACATCGAACGAGTGATATGATATGCCGAACGGAAATGCCAAGAAGCGGGAGCAATGAGTCTGAGTGATGCACGTGCTCCGGCCCTTCGAGAAAACTTGAACCGGCAACCGGAATAAAAAAATAAATAAATAATGAATTAATTACACCGATATTCATAAAAGCAAACAAAAACATTCGGCTTATAAAGTAATTTTTTATGCAGAGGCATTTGATTTCGAAAGATTGCGATATATATATTTTTTTTAAATTTGAAACAATCGATTTTCCCAATTGATGAATGATGTAAACTGATCGGAGATGGTTTGGAATGTGTGTGTTTAATCAAACTTCTGTAGATTAATCTTTGATTTCAACATCGATGGTGTCTTTGAATTCGAAATTTGCACACTGATCTAGTCACACACACACTCACACACAATACAAACTGCAAACGACGTGTTTGCATCATTTTCATCCTCTGTTTGGGTCTGTTGACAACACACAGTCTCTTTTTGTAACGAATTCGACACAATCGCACCAACAACGTTTTTGTGTGTAAACGGTGTAAGTATTTTAGATGCAAATTAAACTAAGCTACAATAACACGAAATAATATTTCTCTTAAAATTTCTTTTATTTGGTTATTGGGTTTGGTCAATTGTGCGTGTGTGACTGCGTGCGTCGAGTCTATTCTGTTACTGAATCATTTTTTTCTCACTTCGATTCTAATGTCATGCAAAAAATGTCTTTTTTTTCAAATACAATTGATATATTATATTTAAAAAAAGAGAATATTGGAATAGAAAAATTTGTTTTCTTTTTTGGCGAAACGCGCTTGCTAAAACACTATTTATTGCTCTCGTAATCGTCATATTGCATTAATGACGATTCCAAAATGGCTTCTGTGTTAAAACCAAACGGTATAATCAAAATGCGAACTCATTTAGTTTTCTTTTATTGTTTTGTGTAACGCAATAATACTTTGCGCACTTAAAACTCTAAAACATCCTTCTTGAACGCTTGAAACGAGGCAAATTTAAAGAAAAACTTCACAACAACAAATTATAACGACTAAAATAAAACTAGTAACTAATGAATAAACAAACTAAGAAAAAAATAAAAAAAAATATAATCTTTAACAAAAAAAAAAAACTTTTTTCAAAACGCATATCACTAGCTATGTGTTTAAGGCATTTTCGCGCACGCGGGTTCGTTGTTAACGTTGGTAGTTTTGTTTTTTGTGACAAATGAAACAAAAATTATGAAAAAACAACACCGTTAACTAATTAACGTTAATTTTGAAGAAAAAAAAAGAACACACACGCAAAATACACACATACACTCACCACCCACTCACACACGTTCTTGAGAGACATGAATGATGCATATTACTTAAAAAAATCTTAAACGAAATAATGAGAGCAAAATGAAGCAAACCAACAAAATTTATGAACAAAAAAAATGATATACTTTAAAATGAAATTTAAATTAATTAAAATAATTGATAAAAAAAAATTAACAAAAAACAAACAACACTTAATTTTCGCGATGAAAAATCACACATACACAACAAAACAAATTTCTTTCTAATTTCAATTTAAAAATTAATGAACATAAATAAATAAAAAAATGAACAAAATATACAATTAATTTTTTTTATCAAATATTGTAATTTTAAAGGCGTATTTAAGGAAAAAATTAATTGAAAAACTAAATAAATTCAACACCGAACGGATGTAGCAGAGAAGAAATCAGAACAAAGAATATGAAGAGAAAGATTTACAAATAAATTGATAAACGGTTTAACTAGTTGAAATTATCGAAGAACGAAATTAATGACACACAAAATATGCATGACATTTGGCCACGGTCTATGATTTATATTCGCGCAGCCAAATTCGATTGTTTTGTAGTTATTGGGCAATTTTTGTTTTTTGAGGGATATGTAGACGCAAAAGCAGAGGACAAAACACCAGATAATATTTAACATTTAACAAACAAAATAAAAAACTTGAAAACAATCCAGTTATATATAGAAGAGAAATGAAACATCACAAATAATATTTGATCTATAAAGTTAACTCTAAACAAACCAACAACAACATAAAAAAAAAATATTTATTGAAACAAATTGAAGAAAACACAACAAAATTCATTATCATTATTATGAAAGTCACACATAAATACACATACAGAGAGAGAGATATATATATATAACTCACGTTAAAACGCCATCCAGCCCGTTCCGATAACGATTGCGAGGTTCGAGTTCGATGTGATGTCGCCGAAAAGGCTGTCTATTTTTTGGCCATTGTCATACCGCCGTGTCGCTGTTGCATACACACTCATTCCAGAAACCCAGAAACCAACGTTTTTGTTCATTTTTAGTTTCGTTTTTGGATCGCTCTCATGTCTAGACTCTATCAATTTTAAGACAATATATGGAACAGACACCAAATGACGCAACATCTCATCACCTCTGACAAAAAAAAATCAATCCCAATATATAATTTATTCGTTCATTTTCCTTGTTATACAACACAAAACAGCAACAAAAACAACAAAAATAAATCGAATAATAGAGAAACCAAACTAGAGAAACTTAAAAATGTCACACAAAATGAAATAGACAACAAAAACTAATATAATTTTCATTCAACCAAATATTTAACACACATTTTTTTGACTATCTTTCAAATTTATGAATTATGATTACGACGTTATGAATTAAATTATAACAAATGAAATTAAACAAAAAAAAAAAAACTTTAAAGCAAAGAATTATTTTAAAACAAAAAAAATCATCTAAAATGATAAAATGATATATAAGTATATATATAATATTTAATGAATTATATTTAACGAAAGTGAGGAACAGCTAAAGAAAACTCTCAAGTTATATGAAGAAAAAAAAAACAAATGGTGTTTGTAAATGGCAAGGTTGATGCAAAATAAAATTAGCAACAACAACAAATCGAACTGAATCCGCAATAGACTTTTATCAATTTGCCGAACGCAAAATTACAACAACAACAACATATATTTATATAGATAAAGATTAATAATTTCACGCATTTCAACAAACACCGAAAAACGCACGAAAGCGATCGAACCGGCCGAAACCGCGTCCGTCACGAATCCATCGCTATTGTCATTTTCGTTATTGTTGTCGAGCCCCATTCGGTCGGCCGCGACACACCATTTTGGATAATCGAATTTGAATTTAACTTGCATTCGTGGTAATTGTTTCTTGTCAAAATCAAAAACACAGCAACACATTACGTTTAAAGCTTTTGGTTGTTTCTGCTTTTTGTTTTTTCTCGTGTGTATCCGATAGACGTCCGAATTTGAAATAGAAGTAAAACATCAACAAACATAAAATCATTGTGGAATTTTAATCATGTAGATTTTGAAGTGTCAAGCACAGAATCGAACCCCTTTGCATCATTTTTTCCATAAAATCTCGTTTTTCTTTCATTTTCTGTCTCTCTCTCTCTCTCTCTTTCTCTCTTGGAAAATTTTGTTTTACAATGTTCGTTTCGTTATTCTCTTGCCACTCCCCTTTGCAATCGATCAATCATTTAAATTCTCATATACACATCTCTCTTGTTACCAATAAATAGAAACAACTATCATATTGGCAGAAATTATCATCAGCACTATTAAAAAAAAACTATTTGTGAACTACAACTGTATAAGAACCGAAAAAAAAATCCAACATATTTTTGTTTGCGAGTGAAACAACAAGATAAAAAAAAATGAATCACACAAACTTCTTACAAAACTTGTCTATAAACTAGCTTAATCGTATAAAAAAACAAAATATATATATATTCAAATACTACGTCAAAAATAAATACCTAACAAAACACATCAGAAATGAAAAATAAGAAAACTTAAGTATTTGAATGGGATTATCTTTAAATGAAAAAAAAAAAACATATTCTAATTACAATTTGAAAATTAAAGAAAAAAAACTAAATGACAACAATATTTAAAGCACTTTACGGTAGCTATTTACTAATAACAACAGCAACAAACAAAAAATTTAAACACTCACGAAATAGATTTTATTTAATGAACAAAAAATAACGTTTGCAACAAAAAAAAACCAATTATTAAGAGAAATCGATTTAAAATACAGAATATTGCACCGTAGCTCGATCAGTGAGAGTATAGTTTGTGTGCTTTTGTGTGCAAAACGAAACGAATAACCAATAATAACGAGATAAATGTTGTGCTCGATTTAAAGATGTTGGACTTGTATCTCCGCTTT